ACTAGGTGAGATCCTGACATGTTGGAGATTTGGAGGGGTGTGTGTGTGTGTATGTGTGTGTGTGCGTGTTATTCTCTTTTGCTACCCCCAGAGAATTAAGCTTTACTCCCTCAGATAGAAAAGTCAAGTTGAGTGATTAGTTTGCCTACTCCATGGATCCTCCTCAACCCCTGAGCAGCTGAATGCTGGACCTTACAGCAGTAATATACAAAGTTGACTATAAATATAAATCAGGACATTGCTATCACCATAACTATTTGATTAAATTTTACTAGTGAACACATTATCTGAGTTGCTGATTGTTTTACCGTCTAGCAGTGTACTAACAACCATGGAAATATCCCCTTAAACCACTAGCCATCTTTTCACAGCATAAAAGTTTTTCCATATGTGGGAGCTTCAAGATCACAACATAGTCAGGATTGTTTTAATGATGCTGAACCAAAGTATAAAATTTCTTCAGTCACATTTAGTCATTTCGTTCTGGTATGAATCTAACAGTGTACACAGATTACAAATGATGTATGCTTCAATTTTTCAACACTCATAGGACAAACTGACCATGGACACAGGGCCTTTACTGAAGAAACCTGTAAATGCCACACTTGGATTTTCTTATGTATGTTGCACACCTTTGTACAAATATTTCAACTACTTCACTCTTAATAAAATTATCTCTTTCTACTCAAGATGATTTATTAAATCACTATACATTATAAAAATGGTATATCATGGAAAGCTTATAGATATTGGCCATCTTCCTTACAGAAAAAAAATTATCATTGAGATCGAGCAATTGTGAGAGCACAAAGTAAACTTAAACAGAGTCTGATGCAGAACAAAAGTTCCAAGACTTATCAAAGATTCAGACAACTTTATTATCTCTGCCTGGATGATAGAACTTACTCCATTTCATCATAAATTATCCACCATCACACTGCCCAAGTCTCAGTTTTCTTATCTTTGCATCTTGAATGGTGCTAGCATTCTGAGTAAACTAAACCAGTTGAGATTGTGCACAGACCATTAAGGGGCCAGGTCTCAGAGCATATTCTGTCATGCTGTACTTACTGCCTCACAATGCTCCTTATGTGTTTTGATAAGAACTACATGAGTCTAGTGACTACAGATTGTTTACAGACCCAAACTATTTTCTCAAAGAGCCCATGTAGGAGTCAACAACTTACCCTATCATACTCCCATTTCCCAAAAATGTCACAAGATTGCCTTACATTCGACTACAAACAAATCTCCCAAGATATGGTTTGAACAGCTTATATAAAGCTCGTTCACCTTCTATAAACTTACTTCAAGGAAAGAAGTACAACCTCTACTCTAATGGAGGAATAATTGTCCACTATTAGGAACTGCTTGATTTTGAAACAAATATTGTACTTTTTGCCTTCTAATGGCCTCTTACGTCATTCAATCCTGTCCCCATTACAGACCATCTTGAGTGATTTAATGCTCTTATCAGCAAAAGCTTCGCCTACTGTAACTACAACCTGTTGTTGAGTTCTAGTGAGGGAAGTATATTATGAACACAGACAGTGTAGCTCACCCTGTAGCTATCAGACTGTCATCTTTTTATTTATCAAGTTGTCATCTTTTCCTAATAAATTTTATTGTGTTCATGAAGCATTGGGCAAACCTGTAAAAGAGACAAGATGCTTCCATTTTCTATGTATCAAATGAAAGAACTCTTCAAATCCAGGATATGTGAGTTTCTTATATCCTACAAAGTATATCCATAATAGAGAACAGAAACCACCTGAAGCCTATATTCCCAAAGACTGGGAAAAGGACTGAAAATCTGACTCACTGTCAGACTTAGACATGGTCTAGACTGTATCTTATAGATTTTTCTAGATTACAAGATGGCATGGATGAAAGGAGAATATTATACTTTTCTCTCTCCTCTAGTTTAGTCAAAAGGTAAAGAAACAAGCCAATTTCTTTTCATCAATACTTTTATTCATTGTACACAAAACAGAGAAATTCATACTATGGATTTATGGATCCACTTGTGAATAGTTTTGGCACAATCAACAACCAAGATAACTCATAGCCAAATTTTCATTTGTTTGGAAAACAGGGGATTCCTAGCTGCTGGTAATGTTTCCCTGGTGTTCTATTGAAAAGATGGCTACCAATTCTACACAAGTGGATATTGGATAAATAGATAAAATTAAGAGGGGATCCTTTGGTTTTGACAGGATCTAAAATATTTCTGTTTCTCTCTTCTCTATCCCCCATCCCATCTTTTCTGTGATTGTGTTGTATGTGTGTGGGGGTATGTGTATGTATGCAGAATTATAGAAGTCAGAAATTAGCCTGGATATCATTCTAGGAATATACTTGACCTTATTTGAAAAAGCCTATCTCCTTGACTTAAATCTTTCAGTTAGGCTAAGTCTGTTTGCCCCTGATACAGGAACCTTGCAAAGCCTGTCTCCTTTGTGAGGTGTCTAATGCTTGCCACATGCTAGGCATCTTTACTTCAGTTTTTGGTACAAACATTAGGAAAATGTCTTACTTACTGTATATAAACTATTACTCTTATTTGTAAAAAAGCTATTTTTAATATCATGATTAAGAAATATCTTATTAAACTTTCTATGTGTTGACTTTGGTTTGTATTAGTATCTTACAGGAATTTCAAAAGTATAAATATGGAACTAGAAAATACTATTTTGAATGAAGTAGCCCAGTCTCAGACAGGTTAATTCCCCATGTTCTCTCTCATTTGCATATTCTAGCTCCAAATCTTCAGATAAAGGTAAATATCTCAATCTTCTTCAAAAAAGAACATTTTTTTTTCTAGCATGGGTTAATTACAGAAAGCACACCTAAACAAATGCAGAAATCAAATGGCCCTGGGATTCTCAGCTCCAAATAGCACATCTACAACACAATTCCTGAAACCAAGGCTCAGGAAATAAGGCAGCAGAGGGAGTGCTAAGAATGTAAGAGTCACAAGACCATAAAGTCAGCTGGGATTTGAAGTCTTCTACTACTTCAGGAATCTTACACTCCTGAATTCTCAACATCATGTCTGCTTAGACAAGACCTGAGCAATTTTAGCAATATTTTGCATTCCAATATAGATGGGGGAAATCTCATAGAGTTCACTTCTACATGAAGAACTACAAATGATTAACAAGTAGAGACAGAAAGAGAACTTGTTTTACCCAAGGACTAACCCACTGATTGTTTTTCTAATACCAAGTTGTCAGCCCTAAAAACATATATATTCAGGAAACACTGAATAAACTCAGCAGGTTGTATTTATATGTTGATTCATGTGGAAAAGCAATAACACATAATAACAGGAAGCCCCAAATTTGACAGAGAGATGGAATATCTAACGTGGGAGGGATATTAGAGAGGGTAGAGAGAAATTATATAATTATACTTTAACTATAAAAAAATTAAAAATAAAACGAACTCAAACAAGTTGATCTGGGAAATGGAAATAAAATGAAATAGTTCAATATTTGTATTGATATCAAGCTACTGTGAACCCTGAACCATTATCCCTGTCCTAGAGTTCATTGTGAATATGTCTCGCCTGTACGTACACTGAAGATGAGTGGTATATGGAGACATATGCTTCATTTCATGTTTAGCAATGTTTTTTGCTATATAGTCTTTTAAATAATCTTGGTTTATTGTGAGAAATGGGAGCCTGGTAGATTGATCAGTTACCCACGGGTTGTTTCAGCACAAATTTATAATAATAAAAATCTGTCTGCCAACATGCAGTCAGATGTAGAAACTCTCGGTTCCGTTGGTAGCTAGAGAGGCATTGAGTGCTGCAGAAAAGGTTGGGTCCTGTTCCTTTTCGGCTCCTTATTAAGCGAAACTCCACTTTAACTGCTTCTACCTATTCAGATAACCAGATCATTTCAACAAGGCAGGATCAAGAAACTGACATTCATGAAATGTGGTGATACATTACAACAGTTAAATGCATTAGTATGTCCCATACATATTGTGCAATTAATACTACCCCTTGATGGAAACATTTTTCTTGAGTTACCGAAGGCCTTTAAAAACATTATCTACTACTATTATTATTTATACTTTTCCCAAAGATACTGAATCCAATTACAATGCACACTATCTTTAAACTGGCCTTTGTTTATAAATTTCCATGATACAGTGATGACTTCTATATGGTTAACTGATTTAGAGATTCAGCTGGAAGAACTGTAAAGAAAATAAGAATTGGCAACAAAAACAAAACAAAATAAAATAAAACATCTCAGCGTCAGTGGATATCACAAATAAGGGCAAAGAACTATTAGAGGGCCAGAGCAACCTCACAAAGATGCTTCCTGTGAGGTCACATCTTTTATACATCATAGGGAAGCTGTTCCCACGAAATGTCAACAATATGGCTATTTAAATGAGACCTGTAAAATGACCCTATCTGACATTCTAACTTGGATGGAGGAAACATCACAAGACCCCACTCCTAGATGAAGAGTTACAGGCAATCAGTAACTGCTGAGGAAAGCAGATTAAGTCTCCAAGAACGATCTTCTTAAAATGCTTTAGGAAAGCTTGAAACATTAGGATATCTAGGGATAGCATAAGACTACATCACTTATACATATGTCCTTGGATCATGAAACTTTTCCCATACAGAGTGGTATGATTTTTCAAAACATATCTGTACATTTCCATCTTAATTCTTCTGATTAATAGATATATCATATTTTTTTTAAAAAGCTAATCTTTACTGACTGCATTTTTTCAGTCATCTTGTTTTCTTTCTAAAGCCTGATGTTTTTGTGAAAATTGTAAAGAAACATTGCAACACTATGCTTCTATTTTATATTATGTGAGCACAAGAAATTGGTAAGTGTTCTCTTCCAAATTGGCATTTATGTGTGTAAATCATATTTTAATTCATAAAAGTAAATCTAGTAGATTAAAATTTTTAAAGCAATGAAGGTCTGGTTTATTCAGCAGCAGATGTCATAGGTCTATACTTAACACTTGTAATTTTTGATGACTCGGCACCTCAGGGTCTTGAGATAACGGTCAACCTTTTTTGTATCCTGGCGGAGGCAGTAGAAGAGTTTATAAAATGCAAAAAGATGAGTGTCTTCATTGGAAGACCTCAATTGTTTTAGTTCTGGCCAGTCAATATAGTCATTTTCTTCAAATCCAGGTTGAATCTAAATATAAAAGGACAGGTATTATGTACTTTGTTGATATAGGTAGTACTTATTCCTTTCATTCATTCATTTGTGTGTGTGTGTGTGTGTGTGTGTGTGTGTGTGTGTGTGTGTAAGTAAGAGTACAATCATATAGGTGAATTTGCATTTATGGTTATACATTCACATAGAAAACAAAGGTCAATTTTGAAATCAAAACATAACATGTTAAGATGTAAGTATGAAATGTATCTAGATTTCTCCAGCAAAAATCTTCAGCTATGATCTTCCATTTCACCATTTTAGAAATATTACATATAATGTAGTCTGTAGAACAATCTGACATCACTTCATCCCATATTAAAGCTATTTAAAACCTTACGATGAATTCTACTATCCCTTGGATGGATTCTACTATTGATATTTCTTGGTATTTTGTTTCTTTTTAAGAGAATTTGCTTTATTTTTTATCTAGAAACACCAGGGATCTGCTTGCTCCTCCCCAGTGCTCGGGTTGCACAGAAAATTCACACGTCGTCTTTCCTTTATAAGGATTTTGGAAACAAACCCAGGACTTCATATTTGCAAAGAAGGCATTCAAATGTATGACCAATCTCCACAGTCCTGATTCACATTACTTCTAAATTTTAAATGCTTTGCAAGAAAGGGTAAGAGTAGAAAATCAGTCAAAATTGTGTATTTTCAGGTGTCTAAGGGAAGGTTTCAAGTCCTGAATGTATTAGCACATAAAACGAGAAGTGAAATATGTGTTCACAATTTTGGGTGTCCCATTGATCCTAAATGAGGAATATGTATGCAAGGTTATACAGAAGGAGAACCAGCAAATCACTATGTGACTGTAGATTTGGATTTAACCAAAGGACTTTGAAGTGCATGGTGCCAGTTCTCTCACTTTGGAGAATTTTACCGCCCTCAGTACTTTCCTAGTCTTTCCTCCATACTTTAATATGTTCTGGGAAAATGTCCTTATCGCTTTTAACTTTCAACTAAATCTACTTCCCATATTATATATTTTTCCTAAACCTTAGCCATGATGAGCACTTCCTTTAATGAGTTAAGTTACAGGGACACAAACATGACTGTCTTAAGGTCTTCTGAGTTAGGTAGGTGTGCCATTCTGTCCAGAAAAGCTTCTGCCCAAATAACTGTGAAGAACAGCTATTTTCTACTGAGATCACTTATGTGCTGCATTCTCAGTAAGGAACTTTTTGAGGAGTTGGTTTTTATATGTGATTCCCTTATTAGAAAGGTTGTGAACATATTGGAGAGTCTTGAAAATGAAGTTTTTAAAAATTAATTTCTTTTTCACACATGACACGACCAAAGAAATGTGAAGAGATGGCTCACCCTGCTGAGTAAAATTTTTGCTCCCTCCAGAACTTCTTGATTTCCAAAGTTAACCTCTACAACTCTTGCCAGCATACCATCATAGGACCCTAAGTGGGTCAGCGTTGCAGGTGTTAGCAGTTTCAGTGGGTACTTCCAGGTACTCGAAACATTGATGATCACTTTCAGAAGGTCTTCAGTCTAAGCAATCAGATTTTACATTGCACTGAATAAGCAAAACAGCATGGTAGACACATTGTGTGTTTGTGCAAAATCAAAAATTGAAATACTGAGTTTTTAGTAATAAGTTTATTAAAATATTTCTTAGAACATGATGCACATTATATGAATGTGAAATTTAAGCCATTGAAAGATAGTTTGCTAACATAAAACTAATTAGATCTTAATAGCTTTCTAATGACATGCCAAATTAATCATAAGTAGTTTTATTGTCTACATGCCATATGACTTACGGTGAGTTTTTTCTATTTAATTGCATTTCTCGTCTATGATAATGAAAGGTTTGCTGGATCTCCAGTATCACCATGATCTGATTGAAACCATAGCAATGCCAGCACTGACAGTGGAAGGTCAACCAAATGGTCTTCACATTAGTGAATTAATTTGCTTGTATAAATGCTCAATGCTGATTTCTGGGTTATTGTAAAATATTTAAAGGTAAATACAGTGAAGAAAACATGCCATTAAGATAGTAATTTTCTGAGTAAACCTTCCTCCCTCCCTCTGGCACAGCAACATACTTGTCATTATGTCCAGGAGAAAAAAATGAGCCAGCACTGTTTTTCATACCAACCTTAGTGGGTATCACAATGAAATGTGACATGCCCAGTTTATGATCATTGCCAGAATCTTGTTTGAGAGCCATATCTGATTTCAACTTCTTGCTATTATGTCTTTTAGTTAGTCTCTTGCAATGAAAAGAAGAGTAATGGAAATCAACGCACATGGGAGAGGAAATATGTAAAGGTTATTTAGAAATACAGCAGGCCAAATCGTGAAGCCAAAATTAGTTGATGGGAGGATTGTGGCAAGATGATTACTAATGGGAACTGGGGTGGATGATGCCCAACTTCACATTCTTGCTTGACATGCAAGGGGTACAATTTGTTTGTAAACTTTCTGAGCCTCAGTTTATTATTTTTCTAATAGTATCTGAAGTTAGAGAAATTTTTGTGTCTAATACACGTATACACTAATACATGTATATACCAATATATTGCTTTTGGAAGTGTCGAGAAAAGAAGCTCTGTGTGAATATTCTCTCTTCTCCAACTTTCTTTAATTTCCATTATTACAGTCACACTTTAATGAGAATAGTTGTATGTAGGTGATTGGTGCTATTGATAAAATCATATAGAACACTTATATATATATGAGAAGTATGTATATAAGTTTAGTTTAAATCACAAAAAAATAATTATGAATGGTAGTCAGGTGAAGAGATAAAAAAATATATATTAGAGCTACTGAGCAATGTAAACCCCAGCAAAATACGTCATGAGATGTATTTGAAATACATCTCAAAATTTATCATGAGATTCGTTACAGAGTATGCAGAGATCCCTTTGTTCAGATGATTTTCAATTAAGATACAGGGGAAGGTAGATCACTAATGTTGTAATGCATAAATAATGAAACAGAAAAAAGACCAAGGGAGTTTCAAACCTCAAAAATAAACAGCACATTGGTGATTTAAGTAGCCTGCAGACTGACAGAGGTGGAGCCTTTAGAATTATATCATAAACACTACTGTATTTGATTTCTTCCACATAACTATGAATGTGTAGTTAACCATTTATATCCAATTCAGACCAAAATGTTTAATCCTACTAGCAAGGTGTTGGCGAAATTTTCTACATGGCAACTTAGGTGTCAGGTATAATGTAAGCTGACATCTGACTTAAAGTGTGTAAGTTACCAAGTGTGTGGTGTCATACTTTTTTGCCTGATCCTTCTTTCCTCATTCTATTAGATCTGAGATTATTGTAACTACACTAGCCCCAGTAATTACATACAGCACAGATAGCCAGAGCACTGCTAAAGTTTATTTGGTAAATAACATGGAGGAAAAACTTACTTTTTTTGAAGTAGGGATGGAAGTGATGTGGCAGGTGTTGTTTCTACTGTCTCTAAACAATCTTCTCTTGTCTAACTTCTTATCCTGGAGGAAATGAAATGAATGAGTCAAGTCTTTGTAATTTCAGAATAATGAACACATCCATGAAAAGATTATTAATGTATTTGATAAATATTCAATTTTATTACATAGGGACTGCATAAAACTGAAAGAGAGAATAGAAGCAAATACTGCATATTTAACTTTTCTTCCCAATAGATATATAGTCGTATGTGCTGGCTTCACAAACTCTTCTCACCCTCTCACTCTGCTCTTGCTGTTTCCCATTCCTAAAATCATTCTTTTGAAAGAAAGTAATAAATGCTCTAGTCAAAAAACATTTAGTTTTTTAATTATCAGAGTATCTGTGTTGTGTGGCTCAAATAGTGTCTTTCTATTAATATTTATGAATAATTAGTTTCCTATTGATTCAAAGATGATGGGCTGGTGCTGAAAATTTCTACTGTTTTCTCAAGTAAAATGGAGTTAAAGTTGAACAATACCAACTTCATGGCAAATTGTAATTCAGTTGTGTTAATGGCATCAAATTTCAACATAAAAATCTGGATATCTTTTAGGAAGCAATCAGCAATGAATGAGGATATAATTCAGCATTTAATGTGATTATATCAATCAGCTGAAGCTTATTTTTACTCGGGTGCTTATTAATTTAAATATATAAATAATAATAATTAGCAAATTTATAAAAATATAATGGATTCCTAGCAACAATGCATTTAAAGATTCCATGTGAAGAAGAAGGGATGAAAGAAACACTAATGAGTGAAAAAGACAGTGGGAAGTTTTATTCACAATAACTCTACAAACATAGGTTTTATGTTCTTAATTTTGCCCTGTCTTCCTTGTTTACACTGTAGTGACCCACCAAAACAGACAAGAAATGTATCACCAGCATGAAGGAAGGAAAGGCTCCCTTCTACACCACTACTCTGATTGTAATAGTTACTTACAACTAGAAATCTTAAACAATGTTTCTTGACATTTGCAAGTTTCTGAACTGCTACTTTTGTTGTTGTTGTTGTCCACTTTGCATAGTTGCACATTAGTTTCATTTTATTTTCTCCAAATGACACACTGCAGTGTAGTGCTCCTATATTGAATATCTGTAGAGCACTTGCAAAAAAAATGCCCACAGAACCATTCTTCAAACACAACCAGGAAATCACAAATCATAGCTCCTCCCTGGCAAAATTTTCTGGACTTAATGTTCAAAGTGGAAGTTCAAAAATGGTTATTTTTAAAGATTATTAGAGGAAAAATTGAAAAAATAACATAGCTTTCTTTACAAATCTTTCATGAAACTTCCCATATTTCCTCATCTACACTTTCATAATTGGATTTTCCCATTACACATAAAACATATTGGTTGAAATTAGATTCATGACACTATATGGTTAAAAGAGTAGAGTTTTCTCACATACACTTTAGGGAAGAATTCGGAAAGAAGTGAGGTACTTACTAAAATTTTATACATTTTTCGAGAAACTGTACGGGTGCGATGTGAAATGGAAAGTAATTTGTAATACAACTCTTCATTGGTCATCTGGTCATCTCTTGTGGAGGTCACGTGTTCCCAAAGGAGTAGGCTTGACACCAGCAGCAACAGACCCATCCCTGCTATACAGAGAAATGACTATGAGCTGAGGTTTTCAAATATGATTTCAAGAGCTATGCTCTATGGTAAGCACTATCCGTTCTCAGAGTCCTGTGCCAAATCAGTACTGTACAACGAGGTGGGTGTATGCTCCTTCCACTGTGGGAATATAGGGAGGAGATACATCTTCACAGTTCACACCTTGAGAGGTAGGTGATCCTTCCGCTTTGGCAGCTCCAGAGGAGCTTCCAAAACTTGGAAACATTTGAAGCAGAGATGAATCCAAAGCGAGAGTCCTTACATCATCACTATGCATATGTTGATGTCTTGGGAATATAAGTTCATTTTCTATTTAAAAAAATTTAAGTTTATAGCTAATTGATATTTCTTTAAAATATCACCCAAAGGTTAAGATGATTGGCATGAACATGTTCCTTTTATTCTTATGCTGTTTTATTTTGTATACACCAAAAAAGTAAAGAATCAAACTGGCCATTACTGTATATATTATGCTTTGGAACTGAGTATTTATTAAGTTTGAGTTAAGTGAGCAGACACAGGTCAAAGCCCTTACAAGCCAAATAATATAGATTTCTCTCCTTCTTTTTTCTTCTATGCAGAAGAAGAAATACTTCCAGATGAGATGATGGCTTTTTCTTCTAAAATATTAAACCTCCAGGGCTTTACATGTCAGATGGCATCCCCAAACCACAGACAGCCTGAGGCCCAAACTGGTAGAGGCCTAAGCAAGCATCGTGAGTTTTCTTCTTCTGTATTGGGGGCAATAAAACTATTTAATTTTATAATTTTAATAAAGTCCAAGTTCTACATTTCAGCAACTTGTTAATTTTTTATTGGCCTACTTATTGTTCTGGAAAATGAATTGTGCATTGCATGATGGTTCAGAGCAAGTACCAGTTACATACCTACAATATTATCTCTGTTTATTTTCAAGTGAAAACAAAAGACAGTACAAAATGACTTTGACTTTCGTCATGTATACACATAGATGGAGGATTCTCTTAGAGACCTACTTAGTTCAAGGTCTACTTGTCAATTCCATTCTATTAAATTCTCACCTCCCTGAGAAGCAGTAGTAGCTCATGCTTTTAAGCCCAGCACTCAAGAGCAGAGGAAGGAAGATCTCTGTGAGTTCCGAGTTCCAGGAGAGACTCCAAAGCTACACAGAGAAACCGTGTCTCAAAAAAATCAAAATAAATAAATAAATAAATAAATCTCCTTTGCCTTGAATGTATGTGAGACATGAACACATATCAGCTCTCTGCAGACCACAGCAATGATAGAAGCGAAGAAATGATAATATACAGCCCAATCTGCACCAAGTAACGCACTGGTAAAGCTTGCTTAGAGGACCACAGATGAATGTCACTTACAGGAGCATGGATGAGTCAAGGACAACTGCATCTCTGAGACGTTCCACCACAATGGTGTGGCCTCCAGCTCGGGCAATTGCCTCACCTGAGTGCTTCCTCCCGTCAGGTTTCCACCTCCTATATATACCAAGAGACAGGACCCGAAGCCAAGCAGAGCTTGGTGGGGGGTGGCAGGGGAGCACAAGGAACAATGTCTGTAGCACAGTGAGTCTCTTCCTTCAGGGAGTAGAAATTCTACTTGTACCAGTCTCGCTTCGATGTGGTTTCTTCTGTTTTGATCATGCTATCTCTAGGGTTCAAGTAATTTTGCAAATCATTCTTTGCTCCATAATGACTCATGGTCATTTCTGTCAAGAGTAATGTGCTTGTTCCCTAATAATGTTTTCCTGGGTCAGGGCCTTTGTTCTCTCTGCCATCTTTCAGGTGGTTTAAATATACTCTATTTTTCAGCCTTAAGCTGCCATAACACAGCAACAGTCAGTTATTCTCATGAATGTAACAAAATGTGAATCTATGACAGCAGCCATCAAACATTGTAAAAGATTCCTCTCAACAGTGCTGGCCACAGTTCCAGTAACCTATAGGAATAGACATAGATACTTATAAGGTACCTTTTCAGCTACATCACATGCAATTAACAAAAGAAATGATCATACCCTCCTTGGTGGAATATGTTTTTGCACTGTTATAATGTGTGGATTTGGTATTCCAGGGTTGCCTTTTAATCAAATGGGAGAGCAATTGATGGTAACTCAACTGTTATACTAGATTCACTACTGGGTACACTTTCACAGACTCTCTTATGGCTATATCGTGTGGCTGAATGGTACAGCTGCTAAAAATTGCTGCAACAAGGCCATGAGTTCAACTCTAACTGTAAGGCAAGATTTCTAGATTTGTTATTAGTTAGACCTTGACAGATTCCCTTATGACTTTACCATGTAGCTGAATAATATAGTTGTTGACAATTTCTGGGACACAAACAGTGTAATGGGTTTTTGTACCCTGGTACCTCGTGGTGGAAGCTTCTAGATCATTACTAAAGCATGAATTTATCATGTTATTGAACCATGATATACAACTTCTTCAGTATTAAGACCTAAACTATATACTTGTGAAGTGTAACCAACAGCATGTACAGTTACTAGTGTCATGTGCAACCCCTTTCCCCAAACTCATGGAGGAAAAACTAAACTGACAGAAGGCACCGTAATCAGTTTTAATAAACTTCTAAATACAAGGAATGACTTTTCCCATATGTGCTGAGTACCTTCACATAAATTATGTAACTAGCATCTTGTGTTTCCAGATTATTTTTCAAATTAAAAAAATCATGGAAAGCTTAGTCTTATATAACAGAATGTTATCGATGGAAGAAAGTTGGAAGAAAATGCAATTGTAATCAAGATGGAGAATATAGATGGTACAGAGATTTTCACATAACTAACACAAGATGAAAAGGCCTCAATTCTCATCAAGTACTAAGATTAGCAGTCAATCATCTAAACATGAATGAAAAATGCTCCTCTATTTAATTTTCTATAATCTATCACCATCTGCCTTTCCTACCCTTACCTCATCGTGGCATTTTGCATGATACTGTCCCTCTGACAAGATGGAAAATTTAAGGTGACTCTTGAATCATCAAGGGCTAAAGTGATCACACCCTACTCTGTTATGCTATACACACCCTCACCCCTATAGCTGGCTTATGGGTTCAGGACATGTATGCTCACTGGGTCTGGTCATTACAGGTTACTTATTTACTAAATCTGTTTGTTCAAATGACCTACAGACGAGTGAATAATTTTTCTTCACATTATCTTTCATTTCCCACATAACATGAAATTGCTTCATTATCCACACTGAAGCAAACATTCCCAAATATCCTGAGAGCATATTTCTACATGACTCATCAATTCTTATTATTTTTACATCAAGAGAGAAATTTTCATAGTATATTGATGCAGGTATTTCCTTAGTACTTGCTTAACTCAAAGAAATAAGTACCATCTAGCTTCCAATGACCACAGTGTCTGACTTTCCTTTGCTCAGCCAATCTTAATTGCTTTAATACTCAGATCATCAAAGTATCACCTACTGTAAGCATTGACCTATGGTTGAGTTTTTACGGGAGAGGGTATATTCTGAAGTCAGTATGCTCACGTTTGGCTAACAAACTGTCGACCTTTTGTTTTCACAACAGACATTAGTATTTTCACTAGTTCTATAGTACTGGAGATCTTTACCTCAATCCACAAAATGATGAGAAATTCCTTTTTTGGTTATAAAAGAAAAAAAGATCTGTAAATCCATAGTGTGTAAGTTTAATACATACCACAAAAATGTATTCAGAGTAGAGAACAGAGACAGCCTGTGGTCCACAGTACCTAACTCTCAGGAAAGGAAGGTCTGGCTATTCTGACTCAGAGTTAGACTTAGATATGATCAAGACTGTGTTTGACAAACTATTATAAAATGTATGATGAATCCAGGCATGGTTGAAAGAAGAAAACTGCACATTTGTCTGTCCCCCAGATCAATCAGAAGGTAGAGAATCAATTTTCTATTAGCATAATTTTCCCCCTCTGGCTTGAGTGGGAATCATAGAAATTCATATTATGGCTTGAAGGATCCACTTTTCCATGTATAATTTCTCATAAATCATCAATGAGGAAAATTCATGGACAATTTTCTCTGTAGTCAGATACACAGAACCCCTATATGCTGATATATTTTCCCTGATGTTTTGAATTGTGAGACTGATGCTCTCTCTCTCTCTCTCTCTCTCTCTCTCTCTCTCTCTCTCTCTTTGTGTGTGTGTGTATAAATACAGATGCAAGAGAACATTCTTGATTTCATTCACAGAGAATGAAATTGTTTTTAAATGCTCACTCACTGACATGAACCTCACCATTTAGACTAAACGGGCTGCTCAGCAACTCAAGGATTCCTGTGTTTCTTTCCCCAGAGATAGGATTCACATGCATGACACCTTACTGCACATCTTTACTTTAGTTCTGAGGGTGAAACTAAGATGCCCACATGTATGAAACAAATACTCCATCATCACATTCTGCTGATCTCATTTGTAAAGAATGCTGTGACCGTTAAATTTCACAGTTTGGAGAGTTAGAGTATACTTTCTTGACCTACACCTGAATTTGTTTTGTGCTCTTTTGAAGCTTTAGAAGAATGTACATTTAATCATGAGATACCATTTGCTCAATAGATGCTTTGTTCATGTTTGTATAACACAGCACATGTATGTTTGGATTCCCAAGAGCTTCTTGTGGGGCTCCTAGTTTTATTAGATGCTATTTTAATCTTTGTCTCATCATTTGTGTTTTTAAAGCCCTGTGGAGACAATTTAGTTGAATCTTTTGAGTAGAGTATTTTGAATTGAAATGTCTGTTGTTCAGCAATTTTATCTGTGATTAAAGCATTCCTTATTAGAGATAATCTCATGAAGATGAAGGATGTAAAAAGGGAAGTGAAGAAACCAGACACTCTAAGTGGAGATGAAATATTCCACCCTTCTTGGAAGCTTATTAAAATAGGAATATAAACAACTGAATAGTTTCTCAGAAAAGCCATGAAATTGATCACTCACATTTAACACACACACACACGCTTACTTGTATATAATCTGTGCAATATAAAGCATATATAGCCTTCAGAGACTGAAGAGGCATACTCTCAGATAGAGGAGTACACTTTTAGGCAGTTGAGGGTCCAAAAGTCCACCAAACCTGTTGAGCTACCTTGAGGAAAAAGAGACTTAACTGAAAAGATTGGGAAGATACACAATACCTTTGGGGTCATTTGAAAACACCATATCCACATTTTTGAGCTGCTAGTAACTTGTACAATGTGCTCCACATTTTCTGACCCTTCACCAATGGTGGGCTGACCTTTTGGTGACACAGCTGTCATTCAGCATTTTCCCCCTAGGTATAACCTTTCACCCACATTCCTGTAAGTAGCAATGAAAAAAAATCACTGTTTCATCCTGGTGGAATTTGGATATTTTTCCTTTCCCTACTTTGTGTGAATAAACATGATTTCATTTCTCACAATGATTAATACCATAAAGAAATATCTTACATTTCAATAAAGGTTTTAGTACTGCCTTTGTTGAAGTGGGGCTTAAAAATTCGTAAGAGATCAGACCTTTGCTGATGAGGAGTTGGTGAAGATCTTCTCCCAGTCAGAAGGTAGCCTTTTTGTCTTAGTGACAGTGTCCTTTGCTTTACAGAAGCTTCTTAGTTTCTGGAGGTCCTATTTATTCATTGCTTCTCTTATTGTCTGTGCTACTAGGGTTCTACCTAGGAAGTGGTCTCCTGTGCCTATGTCTTGTAGACTACTTCCCACTTTCTCTTCTATCTGGTTCAAAGTGGTCAGATTAATGTTGAGGTCTTTAATCCATTTGGACTTGATTTTTGTACATGGTGATAGATATGGATCTACTTTCATTCTTCTACTACAGGTTGACATCCAGTTATGCCAGCACCATTTGTTAAAGATGCTTTCCTTCTTCCATTGCATACCTTTAGCCCCCTTGTCGAAAATCAAGTGTTCATAGGTTTGTGGGTTAATATCTGGGTCTTCTATTCTATTCCATAGATCAACTTCTCTGTTTTTATGCCAATACCAAGCTGTTTTCAATACTGTAGCTCTGTAATAGAGTTTGAAGTCAGGGATGGTAATGTCTCCAGAAGTTCCTTTATTGTATAAGACTGTTTTAAATATCATGGGTATTTTGTTTTTTCCATATAAAGTTGATTATTGTTCTCTCAAGGTCCATGAAGAATTTTGATGGGGATTGCATTGAATCTATAGATTGCTTTTGGTAGAATTGCCATTTTTACTATGTTGATCCTCCCAATCCAAAAGCACGGGAGATCCATCCATTTTCTGGTGTCCTCTTCAATTTATTTCTTCAAAGACTTAAAGTTCTTGTCAAATTTGTCTTTCACTTCCTTAGTTAGTGTTACCCCGAGATATTTTATACTATTTGTGGCTATCATG